TCGGAACCCTCGTCCTTCAGGTTCGGAAGCATCATAGTTCAGGAACCATCATCATGAAAAATTTGTTTAAAACTTAAAATAGGTACTCATATTATTCTGTACAATATACAGTGGTATTAATCTAGCGTTAGAGCACATATGTACCCAATTAAAGAGCAGCGCAGTTTGTGAAAGAGGTTAATTACACGTAACCAATTGTCTTGCCTATTAATCATGAATAATTCTGAATAATCTCACTGAAACTGCATCTGGTTGTCTGTTAACTTAAATTCATGTGAAATAATCATAGAATTGGTTAATAAACGTAAATAATATTAGCTTAATTTTGTGAGGTTACACTGTCACAAACAGGTAACGAATTATGAAATCAAGTGTTTCTAGAAATACTCAAACATAGGCTACTGCATATCACTCCGAAGACACCGAAACCGAATGTACAGTAGAAAATCAAGTAGGCCTACTTGTAAATTGATTTAAAAACAAAACAAATAGTTATGCAGATAAAGACAGTAACATGGTGGAACACTCTACTTGTTTAAAGTCTTTTTAAGATTTTTTAATTGTGGGACTTTTACTAGTATTACATTCTTTGCACGCATGCAATTAAATTCCGGTTTTAGAGTATTTTTACAGTTCTAAAATAATTCCATTTGTTAGATTTCTTAAGGGTGAACCAGGCTAAAACAGTTTTGAGTACATAGTATAGTATTTCACGTAAGTAAACAACCAACTCTGGAAAATGGTTCTATTGGTAAAAATAAAACGAAAATCAAGAATGACCTTTTGAACAATTTAAAGATAACATCATTTTTATAAACTGGTGGACATCTAGTTGACGAAGCAATTTTGGGGAATATTTCTTTCTTGATTTTCACTTTATTTTGACCGAAGTTTGGCTGATCACTTTCCAGACACACTGTATTCCTGGTGGTTTTATACAAAGGACGTTTCGTATTTAACCATTTGTTTCATGTTGTTTTGCCACTTTGAACATTTGTAGCATAGTGTTGTGAGCGAGCACGATGTTCTATCAAAACACCCTGCAATTTAAATACAAATTATAATAAATTGGCAAATTTAAGATAAGACGAACCGAGGAAAATCCAAGCTAAGCACCTCACCGATTAGGGAATCTGTATGAAGGTCGTTGTACTTGTCACTTGTCACAGATCCGGGATTTGATAAGATAATAGACCTTATCAGACCATTGTTGTAACTCTTGATAACAGCTGAAAGCCCCTCATGTGATAACGATATTTGTCATGATCGTACGATGGAAAACCCAGAGTCGATGGCATCATAACAATATGGTGTTATGAGTGCATACCTGTGTGTAAGGAAAGCTTGTTTGGTTGAAATTGTTGATTATTATTATTATATTATTGAATAAATAATTCCCGTTGTGAAGTTGAAATCACGTCCAGCAAAACAGTAAGTTGCAACTAAATGTCATAGAAGAAACACATGCGTTAGGTAATTGGCAATTAGAGGTTGATTATTTTTCACCTGTCGCTCAAATTATCAATTTTATAGTCACAATATGACTTCCACAATCCACATCGAGAATGTTCAATAAACGTTACAAAGTAGGGTCAGCTGTTTTACTCGAGGGCCTAAATGAAAACTAATTCGGTCTTATTACCTTAATTGGGTAAGGGGTTTTAATTGGGTTCTTCATAAGGATTTCACGGGGACTTTAAAAGCCACTAGGAAAGAGGCCAAAAGGGACTAAAAAAATAAGGCCAGTTTGAAAATCTTCATACCTAAACGAACATTTTGGTATGTAGGGTTAAATATTAAAACATAAAAGCCTTATTGTTCACAAAGTTTCATGTAGCGTATTAATAATGTAGATTAGAAGTAAAACATGGCTTGTCTAAAAAGACATTGCGTTTTAAAAAACCGTAAATATTCCAACAATACGTATTTTTTAAACAAAATCTCGTCTTCCAAGTACTTATTGTACGTTTTCACCGTGTCACACAGCTGATTATTGAAAACTTGAATGCGGATACCATGACGACAATGATCGACAAACTTTGGTCAACAACAATTAGTCAGCTGTTTTAAAGCTTTGCTGAAGTAGCAAGCTAAGGCTATTCGACACCAAGTTGCTGTTCTGTGACAACTGGACAATTATATTGTCTTTGAGCAGGTCATTGTACTGTGCAAGCAAATACACTTGCTGAGTTTCGATCAAATATGTGAAACATTGGGAAATAATGTTTAAGACAATGCTAGGTTTTTAGACTAGGTGAGACAATTTTCATTTCTTAAATTCTTTGTCGAGATAGTTTGAAATGTAATGTGATCGTGAAATATAAAAGATACAATACCTTATGAAACAACCCCTATAGTGAAAGTAAAAGAAAATACATGAAAATACATAAAAAAACATGTATAACTATGACGATCCTTAAAAGCGCTTTTAAACTGTGGGAAATAATTGTTTAGTAAATATTATAAAGATTAATTGAATAATTAGGTTTTGACGTTTTATCGTCCCAAATCGAAGACTACAATCAAAATTTATTAATAGTTGATAGTGATACATTAGGCAAAATACTGTGAAAGATATTTCATGTAGCCACTGTACACCCGTTGTAAATATTGAAATTGTATCTTAGACGAAACTTTGCTACTACTTTACTAATTTTTTTTAGAGAAAAATGGCTTAAATACATTCAACATACAATTTATCTGTAACAAATCCACGTATTTTCAAATTCTACTGTTATCGGAAATATACTATGCGTTTTCCATTTCCAACGGTTATATTAAATACACCCATGTTATTTCCAACGAGTTTTGCTGTTGGTTGCCTCATACTCATTTAATCATCCGATTTTTAATTTCCTTACAAGGTTATTTATAAGATATTCCTATTTATATTCCTATTCCTATTTATAAGATATTCTTATTTATAAGATACTGTATAAGATATAGAGATTCCCCGGTATGTGCATTATTATTTATTAGGTATTCAGATCGTAGAGCAGAGTTTTAGAAACACGGCAGTAGTTTAAGTCCGCATTCTGCTACATATGGTAATAATTACCCCATTAAACTCTAACAGTTCAAGGTATTGTTCGATTCAGAATGACCAATCGCCGGCGGCATTCGGATCAGGTGTTGTCAACAAATCGGTCCAAGCCCTCCAAAATATTTGTCTGCCAATTAGGTCACTCCAGGACAATTTTCCGTCAGATCACTTCCTGTCTTTGATAGATTGCGATTCTAGTAAATGTTAAACTGATTATCGTTGGTAAGGCCTAATATTGACATAGTCCTGTATGAAATTTATGGTTTGATGAAAACAGCCAATCTAGTAAATATTTTGTTCAATGACAACAATGAAACAGTTCAAACAGCTGATTTAAATATTTCAATACACAAATGTACCTATAACGTTTGAACAAAATTTAAAAAATATGTTGATGTATACTAGCCATAAATCTTTGGTACGCAATCGTGTTTTATGTGGAAATGCGATAAGTACCAAAAAGTACCAGTGTGATGAACAACTATTTCCATCATTCTGTGGAAATAACCTTCCAATCGTTACAAATTTACACCACATAATTTGAGGTTTTACTAAGGCGTCATCAATGTTTACATCTCAGTTGTTTACAAAGATAGCTTGTATCCTATGGTTAGCAGCATTTTCATAATATTTATAATGAGTCATAAACAAATTTTGAGGTTAACGGACCGAAAAATTTAGCAATGCTTTTTCTGTTCCATATTTGAAGTTACCCGAAAACGATGATTTCTCGGACGATATAGAGTATTGAAAACGGGATTTTCCGGAAAGTATGATGAAAATACTATTGTGACAATAGCACTTATAAATACAAATTGTGAAAATTTATTATTTCAATATTCAACTCGAAATAGTAGGGAATACAATTTTTCTTTTTAACACTTAAACGGGGTTTTATATTATTTTGACGGAGTTTTCAAAATGTATTAGTGTAGTTTCTTTACAATCACAAAGTTAATATAGGAGGCAACATCAGCTTATCGATGGGGTTTACTAATGTACTACTGTATACAATAATAGTCCTTGCGAGAACCCGCATATTGGACAGACATTTATTATGCGTCGACTCGTAAATAAATGTCTTGTTTCTCTTCCTCGTATGTGGGTAAATATCAAGTATTATCAAGCCTCATGTAAAGCAATATTTTACATATAGTACGTTGCTTACAACGTGTCTAAACTTGATCTTAAATTAATTTGTATTTTGTACTAAATAATACAGTAACTAAAAACCGTGTAAATAGTGAATAGCTTACGTAATTTTCACTTCTTGTGGTAAGAAACATTTTTAGTGCATTAATTAATTAATTAATACTCTGCTAAAATTTTGCGATTAATAAAAACTATCTCAACTAATAAAATAATGTCCAGCACCATAAAAAAACAAATTACGAAAAGTGGCTAAACCATTTTAAAAATGTAATGCATTTATCAAAAATATGTGAAAAGTATGCACTTTTTACTACATAAAAACTGTTTTACCAGTAGGATAAACATAGATTAAATGACATTCAATGTTACATAATGAGGTAATAATAAGATCTATGTCACAATGCTTTTGAATATTTATTCGCAGCCGAATAAAAATTATTTAAAAACAGATTTTACTGGCAAAAATTAGCCCGACCTATGCATAATTATTTGTTATGCTAGGGGTCATTTGACGCGTTGAATTTCATGAGTTTTTAGCTAATTTTTACGTATTTACATTATTTTAAAGGGCTCACTATAAGTTAGTGTATCCCTTAAATTAGCTAAAAATATGTTAAGGGCTTCGCGCAAGCAGATTTCACTTTTGGCATGTCAATATTTTGGAAAATCAGTATACGAATCAGCTGTGCTTCTAACAATTTGTTTGTTTAGTGTTCGATAAAAAACCTTACTCCCAGAAACCTTTTATTTATATTACGATTTTCTTAAACAACACGTAACACTAATAAAATAGAATGCTACTTACCGAAATTATTAGTAGATTTAATCCAAATTTGCAGCACCGCCCAGGCGATCCCCGACCCACAAGAAACGTCAACTTCTACCACAGGGTAAAGTCAAAGTGCCGCGTAGTCTTCCCGCGAATCCCGCGTCTACTCAGGTGATACGTCACCTCTCAGTGCTACCAACTGATGAATATCGGGAAAACTGAATATCCCACTTTCAAATAAAATCCCAGTTTCTGGTAATTTTATAATTTTGTAGTTTTATGAAACATTTATTTCCCCCTATATTTAGCTGTTATTTTGGACAACACATGGCTGGAACCTTATTGGCTTTGTAAAAAAGTGTTTATACCAATGAGGAATTATTTGTATCAAAAATTAATTGCGAACTGTACTCCAGCAGTAGTTATATATCGTCTTGTTTCGTTTTAGCGAATTTCCCTATAGGGAAGTAGCTATTACCGTAGGTGGCACGGTAAGACCTAGACCAGGGACCGATTTACTTTTTCATTTTGATGTTACCAGAGGCCAAAAACACTATTCATTCAAATTTTTATATATGTATATATATATATATATATATATATATATATATATATATATATATATATATATATATATACGTCCGTGAACGCGATAACTTGAGTAATTTTCGTCCGATTTTGATGAAATTTGGTTTAAAGGTGTAAAGCGAGATAAACTTGAATGAGTTCGCGAACCAGCATGATCGGACCATGGGAACAGGGCTTTACGGGGGGTTTTATGGGGTAAAAATTGGTTTTTCTCACTTTTGACCCTCAAAACACAAAATTTCCCAATTTTTTCATAGACCTTTTTAAAAAACTAAAAAAAACAAATAATTTAGCATATAAAAGTATTTTTGTTCGATTATTAGTAACGGAGAAAATTAAAAAAAATTTAAAATTAAAATTCCCATGTTATTCTTATGGAGAATATTGTCAAATGTTGTAGTTTGCTTGTTTATGAATATATTTTGATCAAACTTGGCAAATTTATTTATTTTGTACTAAGCTATCAATATTTTACTCAAAAACAATCTTTATTAGTTTCCTTGTAGCAGCAAACCTAGGTACTCGTTAAACCTAATGTTATTAAAATATATTTAACTGAAAATCAATTCAGATAAATGGAAATTCGCTTAGTCGGCAGGTTTGCTGCGGCGGGGGTATTAATAAATTTAAAATTAGTAAAGTAAATTACAAATAAAGCTATGATATTGTCACAGTTAAGCATTTTATGTACTTTTTTGCTACAGATTCTAAGCATGGTTTCTAGAGATGCTTAATCGCTTTTCCCCTGAGATAAGGTGTAAAATTATTTGAGTTTGAAATGAATCATGACAGAAAATCCGTATATTGTGCTCAGTTTTGACACACAGTTTCATACTCTTATGAAACAATTAACTAGTCAATGATTGAACTTCCTCCTGTATCTTCCATTAGCACGAAGCACGAGCGAAACTGGACTTCATCGGCTTAGCGCCTTGGGATCAGCTTGCAAAAGAGGAATCTTCTATTACGTCTTATAGTTTTATCCAACACAAATTAATAAAAGTAATTGCACTCAGATGTTATATTTTGTTATCTCTAAGGGCTAAAGTATCCATACATGTATATCCTTTTTCTTTACCCTTATCTTTATCTTTTTTTGTATCCTTTCACTTACTAACCAAAATGTATTATTTGTTGGACAACAATCCTACAAGAGAAGACTGGCGGAAGTACGCCGTAATTGGGACCGTTTGGGTAATTGTGTATTTAATGAGCGAATCCTTCTGTTTGAAACGAGCCAAGCGATGTATTTCTTGGATGTTTGTACATCGATCTTCAAAAAGATAAAACGGTTGAGCCGAAAGACGAAGCAGAGAAATAATACGCAGTTATATAGTTAATTCTACAGTACTAACGATGCAAATGCTATTCTAACTTATGTTATAAATGATGCTTGGATTAATTGTGCGGAATGGTACAATGTTAATAATTAATAAAAGTATACCTATGTGGGAAACGTTGGTTAATTATGGAAATTAACAGTACCGTCAGTTCCAAGCGCAAAGTGTTGCAAAACATCGTTGAAATAAAAGTCATTGGATGTTATACAAGTTAATCCCTTTTTGTTTTTTCGTCATACAAGATAGCAGAAGAGGATTTTCGTGTGTGTAGAATGTTAATGTTCAAAAATAAGTTCTGGTTAGTTTAATGATATCAACGTTATCCAAATTAATATCAAAATAACTTTACCACTATTTCATCAATAAAATAAGTGAGGTATAAGGGAGGAATCTATCAGAAAAAAAATGGAGTACCGTAAATATTGATATTAAATATTGATTATTCGATTGTTTAATTCGATATATCGGTTGGTTAGTTAGGTTAGGTTAACCTTACCCAATTAACCAAACGATATATAGTTAAAATACTATACCTCAACCTTGCCATTAAAGTTTAATTGAGTCCTGAAACACGCATTAAGATAGGCTTCACATCATTGACTATAGTCAATGCTTCAGATATTTCTATAGTACGGAAAGTTTTCTTCTGGCATCCAAACTGCTATTAAATTGACATTAGGTGGTGTTTAATACTTTTAAGATTAACTTCCAAGATTTATAAATTATTGAGAACGTTAAAATAAAAATAAGACAAAATGTTTTGACGTTTGAAGAGTTTTTGGTGAAAAGTAGTCTCTGTGTTTGAGAAAATAAGCAGTGATTCGATTGTACAATAATAGTATGATTACGAACTTTATGATCCGAGTTGAAGGGTCATAGGAGCAAACGATTCAATTTTGTACTTAAGGATCCAATCAAATTCCTTTGGAAGTCATTTATGTACCGAGTCAAAACCTTACCTATTTTAGAATATCAAAACAATAGTCCACTGATTTTTTACGCGAATTATTTAAGCTTGAACATATTCGTTCAATGTAGAAGCAGATTTCCCCCTTTTCAGGGATACAACGCTTGTAAAATGGGAAAATTACAGGGGTTTTTTTATAAACATCCTCCAAATTACAAGTAATTGCAATTGGTAGAGAGTGGGGGATTGCATTGATGTGTATTTGGCCTATCGAAAGACACTGATAAGTGACGAAACCATCTCAAAAGTTGGCAGCCCTGCTTCCTTTCCTTCTTCACCAGTCAGCTGATATACATTGTTGCATTGCTGTCAGTTCGATTTTAGTGTTATTAGAAATTTCTTGTGAATCATACCAATGACTTTTTCGCAAGCTCAAAGATTACAGATGGATACTGGGTAGAGGAATACATTAAAAGTAAATAATTCATTTCATATCCAGAAACGTTTGCAATTAGGTTTTCAGATTAGATGTCAGTACCTAATAATGATATGCAGGTAGTATATGTAAAGATGAATAATACAATATAGTATTAACTTTTTCCATAAATGTGCATTTCTTAGTTTTAAACAAAGGTTGATTGAGTCTTTCGGCGATGTCCAAATTGTGTTATTGTTATTGCCATGTTCTACGTTCTTCCCACCTCTGAATGGCTGTGGGGGTTCACTTTAAAACATCTTGACATTTTAAGTGACAGGAAAAATAATTCTGAATTTTGCAAAAAGAAATCAAAATAAAATAAAATAGGTTGCATGTACACGAAGCAATATATAAATAAACCCACCGACACCAGCAATGAATATTGAACAAATAAACTGAATGAAATACAAAGTATTTAAATGTGATAGATATCGAGACTGATTTCCCACTTTAGGTTGTTCGCTTTCCACTATTGTTGCTTTGTCACTGTTTGTCGTACCTTGGCTTCCACTAACTTCGTCCTTGAATGTTTAGCCTCATCTTCATCAGGCATCAGGTGATGGAGGGAATGATAAGTCAAAATTTATCTATTATACAGAATATTGGAAAACAGTTTGAGTTGTGTAAACCATGTTAAAAGTCTATCTTGATTTTGATATAGAAAATTTAAGCAACGTTGAAAGTAAAAAAATATTGGGGGCATTTTCGAGAAAATGGCTACTTCTATTAAAATTGTCCCTATGCTAATAAGGGGCGCATAACAACCTAACATAACATAACCTAACCTAGCCCATCCAAACTTAACCAAACTTCATCAGTACACGTAAAATGTCAATAAATGTTTTCTTGAAAAGACTACTCAAATTGTTTGGAGAAAATAATTTACAATTTTATCGCGTAGAATTAGGGTAAAGTATAAAAGTGAGAAATTTTAATTTAAAATGTGTAGAATGTATATTTATTTTTTATATCATAATGTAAATATTTTTGTCTACTTCGCGTCTTATAGAATCTGAAGCATGTTTTGGTGCGGCAATTTTGAATTGGGTATAAAGTTTACTGATTTTCTCGGGATAGAGCTAGCAACCTTTTAAATTACTAGGCGAGCACTATACAATCCAAGCTATGCATAGGTACAGTCAATGATTACTGATACTCGTACTGCTGGTTCATCCGGTTTCGTAGTTCATTCTCAAAGTGTGTTTAATATTTGGACAAGTATTCAGTCGAGTGATAGGCCTACACAGAACATTTGATACATTTATTATTTCAACCTAGATTTACGCATGCTGTATTACATGGTATCACGCATGCTAACGCACTGTGATCGAAAAATGGTGTTAGAAACGATATTTTGCTTTTCGGAAAATGCAAACATAAACCCCATTTTATATTGGAGCTTTAATTTGTATCACAAACAGTAAACAGTGCATTGTCAACCAATAAGAGGCGAAGGACACAAGGTTATCTCGGGTTAGTACAAAAGTTTACTTGAGCAAATCCTAGATAACCTTCAACAATCATTACAATGCATCATGGGATTGACGCAACTATAACTGGTTGCGAGATAATTAAAGTTCTAACGAGGAATTGTTTATAAAATTATTTGTACGAAAACACTGCTATTTGAACGTAACTTGTGATGGTTTATGCTCAAGGTTTATGATGGTTTGTTCTAGAGATTGGTGTTGTGTGTGAACTCATGAGTCAATTACTTAGTTAGGTTGAAGTGGATTTGTTTCGCAAACTGTAAGAAAGATTAAAATTATACCCGGTTATTAATTGATCCCATCGACTCTCTAACGGCAAAAATCTTGTCGCTTTATAAATTTGTATTGTTAATTATTTTGTGAGTTCTTTATCGAAAATGAAAACGTTACCATAAAGAATAAATTAATCAACATATACTCTATTCATACACAAAATACCTCTACTGCAGCAAACCTACAAACTAGCTAAATCTCCAGTTTCCCAATTTAATTTTCTGAACAGGTTAAATAGGGTCATTCCAACTTAAGCAAATATGAACTGAATTGAAAAATTCTTTGTAGCTCAACATACTAATTGAAACAACACTAAATCGGAATACAATGTTTCTAAAAAATTCATGTCTACATAAGTACCTAACAAAATTATTTTGTATTGGCCTATGCTTAAAATAAAAAAAAAAACATCAGACATATTTGCATTGTTCTCAAAGGTTGTTATTAGAAACACACCATTTTAAAGACTTCCATGAAATAAAGGAATTTACTAAAGTTTTTAAAGATATAATTAGCAAGTTTCATATTTTGTGTATTTTTTTATTAATAATATGGATGAAAACGTATGACTTCATGACTTTAATACCCTAGTAACCAATGGAGCCAGAATAATAATGCAAATATTTAAAAAGTCTTTTTAACTCGACAAGCAAGTGCAATGGTCCCGGAGCTATATCTTACAATGAAAAATTCAGTTCATTAACAGTTAATTTACCCCACTTCCCCACAGCTATATTTAATCTGTACTGTAGAAAATATGCAAATATTACAGAAACTTGATAGTAACGAAATAGAAAAACAACATATATCGCGTCTGTTTGTTTCAAGGATTATTTTTTTGTTTCTCAGAGGAAATACCGGCTGAAAATTGTGTCGAGATTTTGAAATGTTTAAAATACTGTATTTAAATTCAAACCATGGGTTTTCTCAACAACATAAAATATTTTCTGATTTCTATTTTCCTTACTTACAATAATGGACGAAATAATGTGTTGTGAATAATATTCGTAGGAATAGCAAGAAGTATGAGTAAAGATAAATTAAAATAAGAATTATTATCATGCTAAAATATTTAGTGATTAATCGAAAATCAGATTTAGAAGTGGAAGTAGGACTACATATACACCTCGACAGTCTTACCAAGAAAAAATTTAGTACCAAATAATCTTTTGATGAAATTAGAATACATGATGCGTAAAACATTTACGATTATTGTAAGAAGATTGGCGCCTGAAATCTCTGTGATTTTTCCACCACTTATCTGTGCTGAAAGACTGCGTTACTCGTTTAGTAGGGGCAACCATTGATATGTATATATATCCATTGGGGCAACTCAAATGCTTTGTTACCAACTGTATCCACAAACTTGGAATATAACCGGTTGACTTCTTTATGCCTTTTTTAAAATTCCTAGAACGAAAAAAAATATATTTTATAAATAAAAAATAAAATAAAAATAGGCCTATATTTATATATAAAATATTTTTCTGGTATTCGTGATTCCTAGCATGTTTTGATTGCTATTGTTTTGTTTCAAGTTCGCTATTTACCGACTATCTATTATTTACCGAGTACGTATGTGTGTACCTCTGTAGTTACCAATTTCTTTTTTACATTCTTCAGCAGGAAAGGTGGGGAAGGAAAGACTTTGGTATTCGTCTACCTTTCCGAGTTTAGGGATGAAGACCACACCCTTGAAGTGCTCCCAGGATGGTGGTATGTATTCTTGGCTCTGTGTATCGTATCCCCAGTCTCAGAGCCAGACTGGCACTAGTAATAATGGCAAAACGTCACGACACGATGCCAACTACTACTTGTTCTCATAAGTATTATAACCAAAGATAAAATATAATATCGTACAGTTTATCAAAAATCAAGAGAAAAACTAGTCGACGTCAGTAGGCCTGTACTCGAAGGAAACTATTGCCTAGATATACATGCAAAATGTTCATCAAAATAACTTACTGCAAATTATTTGATTTGATCATCGATGTAGAACAACTAACTCCTAATTCGAAAACCCGTTATCTGATAGCTTCAAATAAGATTTTAGAATCAGAATTATTTATTCGTCATTGATTGGACATTACAAAAAATACATTGACAATGGTCATATAGCATGGCTACAGTCAGGCTAGACATAACTAATGTCTATGTCAATTTTTTTGGTGTCACCTCTGTGGATCTACAATATTATATAAACACACGCATCAAGATTTTTTCAATGCTGTAATGAGTTATGGTTTTTTAATATTTCCCTTTTTTACAACACTGATCCCAAAAAGAAACTGAAACAACACTAACAGTGTATTTAAGTAAGCATATTTTTAATATAGTACTTTACTGCAGACAAACATTTGTACTTCATAAGGCATTGAATTCAGTCATATGTTGACATTTTGGTGTAGTTTGGGTTGGAGAGTGTGAAACATCAGCAAGTGGATAAGTGCTAAGTGCAGTCTGCTCCTCCATCTTTTTGTAAACTTTAGGCGTATATTATAAAAATCTATATTATAATGGTGTGTTTTTATAGTGCAAAATACTGCGTGTAGAGATATTGCTGGATATTATTTTAAGTGAAATTCAGTTTTCAGCTGCACAATGAATCGTAGTGAAGGTCTTGTGCAGAGGCGTAACATCAACCGAGAGAGCTCGGGTCTGTCATCAAGAGAAAGTCAAGAAAATTTAGACGATAAAAAATCCGAAAGAGACGACGAAACAGAGGATGGTGATTCTAAGGAAACAAGACTTACTTTAATGGAGGAAGTGCTACTTCTAGGATTAAAAGACAAAGAGGCAAGTCCTAGTTGTTAGATCCTCACCATTATAGGCCTTCACTTAACATAGGCTTGCTTACTGTAAACTTTTAGTTGACGCAGGCCTAGCCTGGACCATGCTAGCGTCCTTGGTTTGAATGCAGCATAGCAAAATTGTTAGTTAAATAAATCATTTATAATAAGTTATATTAATACAAGAAACCTAGGCTTAAGCTTAACTTACTATGAAACTGACTTTGATAATCAAGCTTGAGCTAGGCCTATATATAAAAAAACTGCCTCTAAAAAATATCTTGTTCTAGGGTCAGATCCGGAGTTCAATTTTTATTAGGTAGGCCTAACTATACTTGTACTTTTAGGATAATTAAGGAAGATTCTATTACACAATTTAAGCTAGCCTTGGCCGTTGTTGACTGGAGAGCCATTATAGAAAATCCCACTGTAAATGCAACCCCTGATCATTTGTTTAACTCTTTCTTTGATAAGTTCTTATCTGTTTTTGATGAGTTATTCCCAAAAAAAACAGTACCTATGGATAGGCAAGTGAAACCTCGGCAGCAGACAGTCAATAAGGATTGGTTCTCTCCAAGACTCGCCCAGCTTAGATCACTTGTGCTTGCTCTTAATGACCGAAGTAAAGCATCCACGGATGGAAATGATAAAATCAGATTTCACGCTAGTTATTTAAGAGTAAAACAAATCTATAGGCGTGAGGTAGATCTGGCCAAGAAAGAAGCTAACATGTCGCTTATTGTAAATTCAACAAATAGTTGTAAGGCTGCTTGGAACATCGTAAATCAGATTGGTGGCTCAAACAAAGGTAAATCAAGACCAAAATTTAGGGAAAGTCCAGACCAGTTTAACAGTTATCTTATAAGTGAAGTACAAAACATTATTGATGAAATCCCCAAAGATAATGTGAGTCCGGAAGAACTGTGTAGGCCTATCTATCACATATCCAATGACGTGACTCCCTTTAGGCACTGGCGGAGGGTGACACCCAGTGAAATTATCGGCATTGTGACTAGGTTTAAGAAGAAACAGAGCCGGGATATCTATGGTATATCTGTAGAGCTTTTAAAAAAGATTATAGAAGTTATTGTACATCCTTTGTGTCATGTCATCAATGTATGCCTTGAGAAAGGTTATTTTCCAGACAAACTAAAGGTGGCTCGCACTGTCCCAGTTTACAAAAAAGGCGATCCCACGGCCATGAAAAGCTATAGGCCTATATCGATTATACCTGTCCTGGCAAAGATCTTTGAAACTGTAATGAAAAACCAGATAGTCTATCACTTTGAAAAAAATCATCTCTTTCTTGATGCCCAGCACGGGTTCCGTCGTGGTAAATCCACAGTTTCTGCTGTCCTTCAACTGGTCGAAAACATTCTAGACTCCTTTGAGTCTCAAGAATCCACAGCCTTGGCATTGGTTGATTTAAGCAAGGCGTTTGATTGCGTCCCGCATGGCCTACTGATACAAAAGCTCTCGGCATATGGAGTAGAAGGAGAAGTTCTAGAAACGTTTCGTACCTACCTCCAAAATAGAAAGCAAATTCTCACAATCGATGGGGCAAATTCTGAGCCACTTGAGGTATTTCACGGTGTGCCACAGGGCTCGGTGGTTGGGCCTGTGCTGTTTCTGATCATTATAAATGACCTAGGCCTACTGGGAAACATCCTACTATTTGCAGATGATACCTCCATTTACACTAGCGGCCATGATCCAGAGACAGCCTTGACAATAGCAGAAGCGAAGCTTGTTGCCGTAAAATCATGGTTCGACAAGAGTAGCCTAAGCCTAAATGAAGGTAAAACTCAAAAGATAGTATGCAGTCTTTCAAAATACCATAATGAAACAGATGAGGTGAAGCTCCTTGGCTTCCAAATAGATCCGAAACTAACTTGGGAGAAGCATGTTAACTACATCTGCAAAAAACTAAACCGTGTGATCTGTCTCATACGTAGGCTGAAACGACTTGTCTCCAAGGATTTTCTTGTTACAGTCTACTTGTCACTGTTTCATAGCCACATCATCTATGGTCTTGAGCTGTGGGGCCATGCCTCAACCTGCACTAAAATCCTAGTCCTACAGAAGAAAGCTCTCCGAATAATAGACTCCGCCAATGATGAAGAGCACTGCAAGCCCATATTCAAGAAATTAAGCATATTTACAATCTTCAACCACTATATCTTAGTCAGTCTTCTTCACATTCATCGAAATTTACCAACGCTACCAATACGAGCAGACCAGCATAGTTATAATACCAGAAGGAAGAAACACATTGACCTACCTTTCTGTAGACTTACCAAAAAGAAAGACTGCTACCCTGTCCTGGCTATGAAATTTTTCAACCTACTCCCGGCTGCCGTCAAAGAACTAGAACCAAGGACGTTTGAAAATAAAATTGGGACTTGGCTTAAAAACAACCCCTTCTACACACTTAATGAGTATCTAGAAGCCGACCACTCCTCAATAAAATGAAGTGACCTGCCGCCAAATTTTAATCAAGATCTAAGAATTAAATTTCTCAAAGTTTTTTGCTGTAAATATATGTTTTGTGTAAATAGTATTGACGCCATCTATCCAGTTATACTGGTCAACGATGAAGAGAAAAGTATGAAGTATGAAGTATGAAGTATGAAGTATGAAGTAGCAGAGTTAACTTAGGTAGTAGAATTTCGTAGCTGAATTAATGGTAGGCTAACTTATTTAGGCTAATTGTGTCAATCCTTAAAGTAACTCTTAGGCCTAACACATTCTCTACCAGGTGATACGAGAACCTTCAAACTTATCTTAGAGGAGATTGAGGGCTGGTTGACAACGTGTTAAGTTAAAATGCCCTAAATTGATTAAAAATTTAAGTTTTTGAAGGTTTAATTGTGATTGCTATTTCATGTTACCAATAGGACCAGGGAATTTTGTTTTCTTCAAAGGTAAGCCTTTTAAGTTAACAAGTCAATTAACTGAGTTAGGCAGAAAGTTGGTATAGGTTAATCCTTGATAGGGCCTATAACTTATGTGCAATCCCATTTCATAGGCTACAATTGGTAAAAGAAATTGCTACAAATTCAGCAATAGTAGGCCTAGCGTAGGCCTAACTTAGGTATTTATTCCGTACAGGTGCCTAACCAACCTAACCTAACCTAACCTATCCTAACCAACCTAACCTAACCTAACCTATCCTAACCAACCTATCCTAACATAACCTAACCAACCTAACCTAACCTAACAAGCAACATGGCGGTGCTAAAACAACCAATGAATAGGTTGGTACTTGAAAATTACCCAATTCCAAGCAAATTTCCCATAATTCCCCCGACTCATTACTCATTAGCCTATTTTTTATACATTAAATTAGAATGATAAACCATGTTAGATTTCTCCCCTACCCAAAACCCCGAATTCCCACCTGTCTCCTAGTGAGTTGGGGTTATTGCTGGTAGTATCACGTTTTCGTGAAAATCTCGCTTATTTGACTGAAAAATTCTTGCATAGTTGTGATCTGCTTAATATTCCGGTTAACTTGAGTAGTACCCACATGACATGTTTTTGTAAAAAAATTGTTTTGGTCGTTTATCCGCGTTATGGTCGATTTCTGCGGAAAAAGAACGCCATTTTCGGAATCAGCGTCGAATTTCGAGTAGAATGGAAAAAAAATTCAAAAATCGCGTGCAAACCCTAAAATGCATATTAACCTTTGTTCGTACACCGTGTTATTACTCAATTTTAGGGTTTGTATCCTAAAGATTCAGAAATGTAACAAAAAATGTTGACTACATAATTTATGAGCTGTGCTGATTAAGTTATGTGTTTCAGGGCTACACATCATTCTGGAATGACTGTTTATCTAGCGGCCTACGAGGATGCATATTGATAGAGCTGGGTTTACGAGGAAGAGTCGAGTTGGAAAAGGCTGGGATGCGTCGCAAAAGCCTTCTAAATCGCAAAGTCCTAGTAAAGAACGATACTCCTACAGGAGACGTGCTCCTAGACGAGGCGTTAAAGAGGATGAAAGAAACAGACCCACCTGGCACTACGCAATGCTGGATAGACTACTTAACTGGTAAGTTGTTTTGTAGCAGGTGAAACATAACTACCCACTAGAAAGTAATTAGGTAGTCCTACTTTGGTATTATCTGGATGCCACCTATTTTAGAGGGGATTTATTTAACCGGAGACCAAAAATAACTAGGCCTACATAATTGGAAAGAACATACTTCAATTGACTTACTGTCCAAATTTGACATGATTACGATTAGCAGCCTTTAAGTTCTGCCTCCTAGAAGGCAGCGATGTCGCCGAGGATTGAGTTGAATGCATCGCCGCTGCTATACTCCGCCAAGTAGGTATACAGCGTGCTGCGGCGGTTATGTTAGGTATCCTATACTTTCGCCCGCCAAATACCCCAGACCGTACAGGCGGTGAAAAGTGATGCGCACACTCCGGTCAACAACCTGACCTTGGCCTATTTGGAGAGGATTTAGCGTGCGAGAGTATGACTTATCTGGTATCGTTCGATTCATAATGAAACGAGGAAAGTCCTACAAACATATTTATGATAACCTAACCTAACATAACCGCCGCAGCGGGCTGTATGAGGGTGGCCTCCAACGTTCCTTAAATTACTTTCTGGACAGCCCTTGTATCATTGTCATTTTCTATTTTTGCTTTCTACCAAAGCAATGTTAAAGCTATCCTGTTTCTGTGGTTTTTAGGGGAAACCTGGAATCCTTTAAAGATGCGTTACCAACTAAGGAATGTTCGTGAGAGATTGGCAAAGAATTTGGTAGAGAAAGGAGTCTTAACAACAGAAAAAACTAATTTTTTCCTCTTTGATATGACGACTCATCCACTCACCGACAACATTTCGAAGACAAGGCTTGTGAAAAAGGTATGTACTTGAATTGGTGCTTATTATTATGGATGGTAAACGTATTTAGTTTCAAAATTGCTCTAAAACACACTTTGGGTTTAAAAAAAAAACGAACAAATGAGCTTCCGGTACCATGTCAAAGGTTTTTAAGGTACCGGTATCAACTAGATTTCTCCATCTTCTTCTATGTCTCCACAATCCCACTTAGCCTATTCCATTATCTGCCATATCACTCCTCTCTTCTCATACATCTCTTTTACCTTCCCTCCATCAACATCAACTTTCTCGGAAATATCAATCCAGTTAACACAGTTATCAGTTAAAATAAATTGTAAATAAGTTAATTTCTGATATAAAAATTGCTAAAAAAAGTTAACTTACTTGTATGCCTGCAATAACTTTTGATTTAAAATTAACTCTCTATTGAATGTAAATTTTTAGAGTGCAAATATCAGATCTAGTTCTAGCTCTTACGAAAGAAATATAGAATTAAAACTGATTCTTAAATCAATACTCTCAAGAAGCCTTAACCTTAAACCTATTCTAGTCTGTTGATCATATTCTGTTGTCGTCCTACTGCAAGATTATGAACTTTTGCACATTCATTCAAAAACTGAAAAATGTTTATATTTCTTTGTAAAAGGATAAAGATTAATACAACATAGCCCAATGCTTGTGCCTGATCCTTGTACAGTATTGATCATTTGTCATAGTTACATCATGATTTCAAGGCCGCCTACTCAACCTCTGTGACTATGTCCTTAACCAGATAAACATATTTTTTCTTCAGACATGGACTGATAATATCATTACTATTTCTAATAACTTAGTCGTGGCATCACCTCATTGCTAAAAGCCAGTAGTGATTGACGTGAATAGAACTTGGGCTACGGCAGTGATCTTGTGGTAACCTAACTCTTTAATTTTGGACGTAATACTTTAATGTTTTACAATTTCAATCATTCTGGATCTTTGAATGCAAGAAAAAAAAATGATAGTGAGTTTTAAAAAGTTGGATCTGAATTGTCTGCCCATAACCGCTGGAACAATGAAAATTGATTAAACTATTAAATTTTTTAAAAATAGTAGGCTAAGCATATTTTTTTGTCCAATCGATTCAATGCACTTTTTAGGTAAAAAAAATAACTGTTATAGGCCTATGCAAACCTTTCTAGAACCAAATTAAAATAAAATTTTGAAAAATCTGTGAACCCTAAATTAAATTATGGCCTTGACATTCCTTTCCTCTCAGAAATATTTTTCTTTCAACAAAAGAATCATGAAAATCTGTCAAGTGGTTGCTTTACAATCTTGGGGCCAAAGAAACCTCTTCAAGTTTTTATAGATAACTTACTATTGTTTTTATAATATGTTTATCCAACCAAATCATTACCATTGGACAGAGCCCAGCTAGTTGGATATGAGACTGGTTCAAGACTGTATTTGCAAAAAGTTTCTAAATAAAAAATCCTTTAACTTCAGGTGCAGGAGGCAGTGTTAGGTAAGTGGGTGAACGACCCGCAGCGGATGGACAAACGTATGTTGTCACTGCTGTTGCTGGCTCACGCATCCGATGTGCTGGAGAATGCCTTTGCACCTCTCAACGACGACGACTACGAGCTGGCCATGAAGAGAGTTCGGGAACTCATCGATCTAGACTTGGAAGTGGAAGCCATGAAGTCTCAAAACCATGAAATTATTTGGGCTGTGTTCGCTGCATTTACGAAGTAAGTTTTTAAAACAGTTAACCTCTTTAGCCCTATTTGGAATCACATTTAGCATACATGTTACTGGACATATTGTGATAATATCACTACATTCTACTATCTTCTACTATTCATATTTTGGTTAAATATGCAGCTCTGTCTCGAGGTATCCATTTAACTGTATAAGTGCAATAGTGTTGGTAGGGAAAGAGTAGGGGGTTATTTTAAGCTGAAAATGAATGAAGGGCGATTGTGGAATGGGGTGAGATGATCTGTGTAGCTTTGTTACTGACACTTAAGTCAGGACCATTAAAAAGCCCAATGGTCAAAGCCAGCTGTGTCCAGTTTCAAACAATCAAAAAGCTACTCACTTTTCTCAGGAAATTTTATTTAACAGGCGAGCACTATAACCTGAGCTACCCAACTATTATAGCCTCCCACTATATTGAACATAGGCATTTAGGCACTTAGCTACTGTATTTTTGAATTCAAAATACTCTACTAACGCTTTCTTTTGTGAAAAGTGATCATTATATACACAAGAAGTGCCAAACTGTCTTAAAACAGTTGTGTGCTGCCTTTGTTATTAGGATTATTTAATTTAACCATCACTGTTGTCAAGACGATTTGGAACCTCAATAGTCAGTCTGGATTAATGTGGGTTCACTGTATTTTTACAGTTTTTTTTTTATAGTTATGTTACTACTGTATGTTAAACTATGTATCCTTTTGTAGCTTTGAGTCAGACGTAATTCCTACACTATTTTTTGATCCTCAGACACTAATGAATGTAGCCTATTCTTTGCATTTTCCAAGAGTTATCAAATTTTTAATACAATCTTTGGTTTTTCAATACCTAGCAGACTTGTAGGGGTTTTTAATTATAAAATTAAAGTAATTAAAAGTGTGTTTACAAAATGTTTGTAAAACAGTGGTTGTTTTGAAATAAAAAAATGAATTAGGCCTACAATTTTTTTTTAAACTTTTTGTATAAAGTTCCTTGAAAAACGCTAATGCACTTGCTATCCAGGCTCCAACTTAAGTTTTCTTGACCTAGAATCTAAAATAGTTGAACATTATTGTCCTAACTGCTATTTAACCATTTAATATTTCACTAAAGATAAAACTAGTTTAACTCGTTTAAACTGTCATTTGTTGATCTATTATTAGGCCCTATATTAGTATAATATTTAAACTGCTTTTAAAAGTTTTAATGAAATCTGATATATTTATCTAATTTATACAAATTTTGTATAGTTTTTATGAACTTTGTCTTTTTCAGAAACTTAAAGTTCAGTAGTCCAGGTTAGTGAGAAACCAATTTGAGTCTTGGGAAGTAAATTGTTGCAATTAACAAAAATTTTAAAATTGGGTTGTCCTTAAATCGCACGGGATTTTTGTGAAACCGTTGGGATATTGTATTTGATTGTGTTGTTTGAATGCGTATCGTTCCAAATTGGGATGTATCAATAGTTGTATTTTAAGAAACCATAATTGCCATGTGTCTTAAGAAAATGTGCTTTTACATTTTTCTCTACAGTTTTTACTTAAATCTTTTACAGATTTTTTCTAAGGTCTATAAACTTGATAACTTAAGCTGAGCTTGAACGCTTGATTGCTTGTCTGCAAATATGTTGGTTCAAAATAACCAATACTTTCTGTCATTCTCCATGCTTCGTTGATAACCTTATCAGCTAGGCAAACTGCTGTGTAGCGATAAAATTATGTGCTCTTAAAGTCTTACTTAAGAAATAATATAAAGGGGGATAGTTAATGGTTGTAAAGCTACTTTTATGTTTAAGAAAGTAAATAGTTCAGATACTCTTAATATAGAAATTAAATAACTCCTTTGAAAGCATTTAACCATTTTGGTGTCAAAGCTTTGAAACCTAATTGGTTAAATGTTTTAAAAGGAGTTTTATTAACTTCTAGAATTCAGGTAGGCCTAATTTACCGTAAAATGAAGGAGTCCATGAGCACACACAGAAATGGGACACATAATTAAAAACTGAAATGTTGTCCAAGAAAGGACTGTTTTAGTTAATAGTTTTAAAATTTAAAATATGTTCAATAAGGAATTTTCTTAAATCTAATTTATAAGCTACTAGTCCTGTATTAGGATAACATGTAAATGTTATGTTAGTTTCAATCTTTTCCTGTATATCTAGAAAGTCTGTTAAAAAAGTATCCGACCTTACTTTTTATTAATGTAGTAAGCGAACAACTGCATTGAGCAGCACCCCGGCCTGTAGATCGAAGCAAACAAGACCTTGACATGGCGTCAGTTTATTGTTGGCCACCAAACTTGAAACTGTGTCCGTAGTGTTCTTTGTGTTGTAACTATGGGTGTAATACAGATAAAAGATTGGTACAACAGAGTCATGATGACACTTCGGTTGACATTTAATCTCGTTCTGGGAGACTATCAACAAGTCGAAACGATGAAGTTATCGATCAAGTTAGAATTTTAGTGATGGGGGATCGACATATTACTGTTTATGAACTAGCTACGGATGTTGAAATCAGTGTTGGTTCAGTTCATTCAATTTTAACAAAAGATTTGGCTATGCACTGAGTTTCTGCAAAATTTGTCCCAAAGAAATTGACTGATGAACAAAAGTAATTGTGACCATAAGTTAATCAAGACATGTTGGAATGCATTCAGAATGATCCTAGTTTTTTTTCAACAGTTATAACTTTTGGCTAACTTCTCTTCTCAGTGGAAATACTCAACATCGCCGCGGCCTTAATAAAGCAGACCAAGTTCAAATCAAAATCATGCCAACTGTTTTTTCAACTGCAATGGAGTAGTTTATCATGAGTACACACCTGAGAGACAGGACATTACTAAAGAGTACTACTTAGAAGTTCTACGATGCGTGCATGATGCAAGCGTCCCGATTTGTGGGCCATGAACTCTTGGTGGCATCATCAGGTGCTCCAGCGCACTTCTCCTTCCTTGTTTTTAAGGCTTCTTCACAAAACATGGCATAGGCTTACAGTTCCAGCCCTGTATCCAAAAGTAGCAGGAGGGCTGGAATAAGTTTAGGGGACTATTTTGAAGGAGATTACAATTTTAAACACATTGATCAATAAATTATGATTTTCCTGAACAAAGCTGCATACTTTTTAAACATACCTCGTATAAGCACTTTGACTCTCATTAGGTAGACATTTTCCTAAAAACAAGCTAATAGCTAAACTTTACTTATCTATTAATTATTAATTACTACTTACTAAACAATTCTGAAATCATCCATATGGCTTTCTAAAAAAATACTTGAAATTACTTTTGTTAGTTATGTAAATGTTTTCCAAATTATATTTTCTAAGATAGTTCAATTGAAATTGGTAAAATCGTGAGTCACCCTTAATTATATCGGAATTATAATCAACGGTGTATTCATCCACAAGGTGTTCATTAGGATGTATTCACATTGCCACAGTTTTACTAGTCCTAAAGGTCTAAAAGTGTTTACAAATAAATGAAAAAGGCTGTTATTATTTTACAAAATTATTGATGTTTCTCTAATTTCTTTCAGAACCTAAATACAATTTAAGATTGAGGCAGTATGACGACATTGGTATGTTTATTTTGTTTGGTATATCTGAGTTTTTTCTATCCCTCACTCTTTGATTATTATCATAGATGCACTTTGGATTCTTACTAAATTTCCTTTATTGACTCACCAATCTCTAATAGTTTGTATGTGGTATATTTTTTGGAGGTTTAACCACTAATCTTTAGTCAGCACTGCATGGTTAGTTAGCTTTGCACTTTATTTAACAGATGTACAATGGTCTTTAAATTAAAGGTTTCTGACAAGCTTCCGTTGCAACTTTTGTCTCGGAATGTGATTAAAATAGGCACGTATTTAGTAATTGTGGTCAAAAGTTTTAATACTTAGGACTCAGAGCTTTCACTTCTGCTTGGTTCTGTAGCTTGTGTCAATGTTTTGTCCTTTTTGTTACAATATTTTCGTACATTTTGTGTATATGCTGTTCTGAAAAATTTAATGGACTTTATTAATAACAACTTAAACGATTTTCAAATGAAGTGATTACTTTTTTCTCCTTGATGGTTTCCCTCATGGGCCAAGATTAGTTGCCATCATCACAACTATCAAGTATTAGGCCTCCTGTATGCATATATTTAATCATTCATGTGTATAGTAACTGAAGGCTAAATAACTTTTTAAACACGTGCCTCAATACATTTTTCTCTACATCCATAAACAGTGATGAATTAAAACTCCAGAAAACTTTTTGCAGAATGTAATTTACACTTAGATGGAGCGTCAATTTTCTCCTTTGTTGTTAAAGGCAACAACAAAACTGTGTAGAAATGACAACCAGCCAGAATAATGGTGTGGAAAGTCGATGGAAGCTTGCTTAGGACTTAATTTACAGACTATTTACAACTATCATACTGTTAATAGTAAATATTAATTGTTAACACTTAACAGTCTAACAATGTGTTTGGTGATGGTAAAAGTCTTAATGTAACACTATTTCTACTCTTAGTTCTTACTAACATTTTTAGTTTTTCCACATCATGTGGCAATTTAGCATTTCAGGATTGTAGAAGTTTTATTTCTCAGTATTCAGACGATAGCTGTGTATTTTATTTCTATTCAAAGCATGTAGTTTTGATTCTAAAATTAGGTAACACTTATGTGAGCTATTAGGAAGTGAAAAAATATTGTTCACAGAAGTTAATATTTTTTATTCAGGCTTATTATGTCAGTGTGTAAAGTTTGCACATTTGGTCTATGATTCTATTTTTAACAATATACCTTGATGTAGAATATTGTAACATTACATTTTTTAAAATAACATTGTGTAGGTTCTAAAATAAATCATCTGATTTACAAATTTTGATCCCCTCCTTCAGAAAAATATTCTGCAGTCTACTTTGATAGTGAAAGCCAACCATGTAATGTTCTGGATAAATCGACAACCTCTGGGTCCACAAAATGTTGAGTTAGTGAGCTTTTACTGTATCACTTATACTTGCCTAATGAGGTAAAGATGGGGGGAGAAAATTGATGGGTCTCTTTATATGAACTGAAAGAAAACTGTTTCACACTCACTATTGGTTATCAAAACTTATTTGTACAACTTTGTTTAATAAATTTCTCTTTGGTTCAATTCAGTAGTTTGTATCGCAGTAAGTGTAACGATATTGAAATTCAAATTAAATGTAAACTTAGTGGTTTTTATTTTTGTAATTAAGGCCATTTAATATTTTTTTGAAGAAAAGCTTTGTCCACAGAATAAATAGGATTTTGAAGGTGTAATTATTGTCTGTATGTTATGTATCCTGACCTGGGACTGGGCCAAGCCTATAACAATTGGCCAGTCTCCAGATAGATAGTCATGAACAAACAAACACTCAGCCCGAAACCACCTCTTCTTTATAAAAATTGATAGAATTAGTAATGTTAATAATCCTAATTAAATGATTGTTTTTTCAGGTGAGTTCAATGAAGATTTCTGGTAACAGGAAGTAAGCTGAGCTATTCTATATTCGATTCACCTCTAATGGCTAATTTTAATATATATTTTATCCAAATTGTTATATATTCTACTACTGTATTGTTATGGTATTTATACATGATACTTATATTAAGTGAAAATTAAAGCCAGTCTTTTTAAGTTTGCCATAAACTAGTGTACATACAGATAAATAGAAGAAAACCATGTTGATAGACTGTAAAGTTTTTAATAAAAGTTGAAACCGACCCCAATATGGTTAGTTAGTTTCACAGTTAAATAAATGTTGGAAGCCCTTTTTATGTGTACATAGGAAATAAATAGCTTTGTCAAACCCTCTTGAAGTGAGTAAACTAAATGTCGCAAAATCCATATCTGTCAGTTAAAATTGGTATTTACTGGATGTATATATATAATTATTTAGGTGATAACATTGAAGCTAGGTATTTTTACTGCAGTGTAAAATATATTGCTTAACGCATCTTATATAAGTTTACGAAATATATATCACACAATATATTCAAAGAGTTAAATGAAAATATAATCGTTAAACGTTTTGTATATAGACCCCCTTGCATGAATATTCTGGTATGATTATTTCAACCTAGACTTTTCTTCTCCACTGTATAGCTATAGAAATTCTTGTATCGTACTTTTAAGTAATTTAAAAAGTTCCTTGTTCATCTTCGTTTGGATATACTTAAGATGGATTAGGGTTTAGTTTTTGTGTTTGACGTTTTAAAATATAGTATGATGCTTTGCTGGGTGGGGTACATCACTGATTGACTGCATGTTTGTAAGCTGAGAAATCAAAGTCGATCTTTGAAATTATATTTACAAACATAATATGCATAATGTATAGACCTACATAATACAAATGTTTGATAATGATAATACTTAAGTTTGAGTCAACTTTATTGCATATACAGTAATACTTCCCAAACACATTTGTTCCAAAAATCCTTTTTACAAACACATTAAGGTATATTAGCCGAAAAAATTCAATTGGCCATTTTCTTTTTACTAATTTCACACCAAACACATTTAATGTAAGCACAAAAATGATATGTAGTCTTACTATCAGTTATTGAACAATCTTTTGCTCAAGGTTATCAAATTTGTTTGGAGCACGTGGTTTGGATCCAACCATAATCTACTGCTATCACAGTTGTGTATATGTATATATTGATTAATAAACGATATTCAGTTTTCTATGCAGTTATCATATTAATTTTTCCTTTTTATCTTGACTAGAGAACCCTGTGCTGCTCGAGCTCTGCAGCGATGAAATATGTTTGAGTAATGAAGTAGCTTGAATTTAACTTAATCAAACAGTTAATATCACAAATGAAAGCCTTTATTTCTGGGAGTATTTTAAGACAAGTTACGTATAATCGATTGCAGATAAGTCGCACAATAATTATAATTATTGACGATTCGTGATTCAGGTACATCTGATCTTAATAATGATCAATAGCTCAGATGATAGCTAGTATTTCACTGATGGAAAATCTTTGCGTCCATACGTTTAGTTTAAGACCAAAATTAAAAAATGGTTGGATAGAAGAGCCAAACGAATTTGGAAAAGACAAATTTAACTCCCAGTAGGAAATGTACAGGGAGGAAGTTGCTTTTGTTGTGCATAACTTAAAATATACTTAAAACAATTGAATGCCGATGCTTGATGGCAAATCTTTGCGTACATACATGTAATGAGAGTAAGAATGAATGAAAAAGAACTTTTATCACCTTTAGACAGGTTTTTAATAACTTGAATAATACTACATTGAATTATAATTGATGTGTTTACAAACACAACAAAACAATAATAAAGAATTGAAGACACATGTTTTTTACTACATTCTTCCTCCCTAATGTTAATGAACGTAGTCATTTAAATAATTAGGAGGCCTTCTGCTTCTGAAACTTCTTCTCGGATATGTGTTATGGTTCTCTCCTCTAGAAGCTTCTTGTCTTGGTTGTAAATTCTCGGCAGTAGTATTCATTTCATCTTCTTGGTTCTGTGTTGATGATGGACTAAGAAAGTATTCAGGTTCAGGTTGAGAAGTGGGTAATAGAGAATTTTCATCACTCTCAAAATCGGTTTGCTCTATGTCGGTTTGGTACTCACCAACTGGAGAGCAAGATGACGTGTAGACACGGTAGTTTCTCTTCCATCAGGCAACTTAACATGAGCATACTCGGCATTTCTGTGAAGAAGTTGGTCCTCTTCAACAAGTGGCTCATACTTCGACGTACGATTGAATCTCTTCAAGTAGACAGGGCCGGAATTGAGAAGCCATGAAGGAGCTGAAACACCATTGTTGTTGTTAGATCTACGTGGATGTAAGAACATACGCTCGTGAGGAGTTTGATTTGTGGCTGTGCAAAGTAATGATCTCACTGAGCTGAGGGCATCCTCCAAAACTGCCTCCCATTGGTTTATTTCTAAGCTAAGTGATTTCAATGCCAATTCAACTGTTTTCCATAGAAAGCCGTTATACCTTTCAACTTGCCATGCTGGATTGTACGCAGTGGTTCTACTAGTTGAGATTCCAAGTGAGTTCAAGTAGCTTTTTAAGCCTTGGCTCAGAAATGATGTTCCTCTGTCCGAATGTATGTAACTAGCAACCCCAAAAGTAGAAAATAATGTTTTTAGTTTCGACTTAACTGTTGACGATGACATGTCTGAACACGGGAAAGCGAAAGGGAACCGTGAAAACTCGTCTACTATTACTAATAAGTAATGGTTTCGACTTGATGAAGGCAGCGGGCCTTTGAAATCGATATTCAGCCGTTCAAATGCAGAAGTGGCTTCAATCAAAATCCCTTTGTGTTTGAAGAATCTAGGCTTCACAGCAGCACACACATTGCAGGAGTTTGTTATTCGTCTGATTTTATCAATCGAGTAGGGCAAGTTTTTACTCCGAACCCAGTGGTACAAACGTGTCACACCTGGGTGACATAGATTTGCTTGTAAATCAATCAACAGTTTTTCTTGATTTTGGATTGAAGAACATACTCTAGTCAGGGCATCTGCAGCCATATTATCTTTACCGGGTCTATATACAATATCATAATGAAAGCACAACAATTCCAGTTTCCACCTCATTATCTTTTCATTTTTCACTTTGCCATGACGGTTGTTATCGAACATAAAAGCAACCGACCTCTGGTCAGTAATCGGCTTGAAATGTTTACCAACCAAATAGTGACGCCATTTCCGCAGTGCTTCCACAATGGCTTGTGATTATTATTATTATTCTTTTCCACGTTGTTTTCATGTTGCGCAGCACAGTACTATAGCAGCTTGGGGTTTTAAGGGTGCGCTCTACCTCAGCTCGGAAATCTCAGCTCTGGCTTCAGTAGCTATGTTGCGCCACTGAACAGCGCTGCGAGAAGCGCTTGCAGATGTTCACGGCAACTGCCTTTTAAACTACCCATACATCACATGCTAGTAAAAAACAATGAGTGGGGTTTAACAGAACAAAGAACAATCTATATGACCCTGGTTTTAGAATTTTAAAGTAACAATTCTATAATAAGTTAAAGCAGTTTAAAATTGCCGGCCGTTTTTCGTCTACATTCAAAAGAAGATTTTCTGTCTTTATGGCATAATAATAAATAAACATTTTGCAACCATCATATTTTAGATAATTTAGTTCTCTTCAAAACGATGCCTTAATTTTGATTCTCTGTGAAATGTGGCCTTCGGAAACATTATTGCCCCAGACCCTTGCATTTACACGAAACGGCAGAGGTAGAGCGCACCCTAAAGGTAAGATTAGTGGGCGCTGGACAAAAGCCACGAATGTTTATCGCTATAAGCTGGGGGGACGAAAGCCACGACGGCGGTCCAGGTAGTTGGGAGGGGCGAGGGAGAAACGGGAATCTCTTACATGAACATGGCAATTATAATTTGCAGGGAAAGGGATGGTCACAAATATTTTGCTGAAGCTGTTTGGTGATGTTTCAATACATTTTCAAATACAGTTGTAAGAGCTACAAATAATGAAGGACACTAAAATGAACCCCTAATAGCTATTGTATATTATGACTGTTAATCACTTAGTTTTAATTCTTTTGCCGTTTTAGTTTCTTTTCCTGTTGAATCAATATCAAATATGTAAATAGATAACTTTTATGTATTGGTAAAACTGTTTTCGATCCAATATGAACAATATTCAATCTGATCTTAAGCGTATGGGTTTTTTCACGTGCTTATGTGCACGACTAATTTACATGATTGACATTAGGCCGACGAATAATGAAGAAAACCCTTATTGTATAACTTCCCACTTGTTTCCAATACTGTTAACGTAAATAAGTTGCTACTTAGAAAGTGATTTAAATCATTTCTTCTACTATGGTGATGTCATTGATAAGAAGTTGTAGTTCAAACATGTTTTCCTGGATTGGCTAGATTAAAAAGTAATGTAGTTAAATATGCCACAAATCAAATTATGGACAGCAGCACAGCACTCTCAGGCAGAAATTAATTGTCGGTTTCATTCAATTTAATTTGATAATGTGAGTTTTATTCTAAGAGTATGCTATTTGTTTTGTGGTTGACTAAAGCTATACCTTGATACTACATCGAAAAGCATATTTTTCATTTTTCAAATAAAAAATAAGGTTCATCTTGAATTTTTTCTAAAGATTCTATGACTTTCAAAGTTCTTGGAGCTTTCTGTAGACGCTATACACACAATAAACGTATACTTTGGCAAACTTGTCATTTCCTTCCCAACAATCCGTTGTATCCGTTCCCAACAGGCCTTGTCGACCCACCTCTTAAGAAATATTTCTTCTCTGGTTCATTTTGGTGTTTCTGTTGAAATTGAGGATCAGTCAATAGAATTGCAATATTAAGAATTGGGCTTTAAATTATTAAGAAATAAACTTATATGGATTTGGTACATGTCGGTAGTTCCAATCGTAACTACCTGGTTGTGGTTGTTTGCCTGTTCTGTTTTTCATGAAATGCCAATCGTATCGCCATTATTAAACATTTTGTTGCATTTATCGTGTCCAATATGTGATTAATGTGTAACTAAACCATCAACAAAGCGACTTTAGTGTATTATCATGCTTACTGGAAGGCGGTGTTTGGAAATGGCATCTTACAACAACACGAAACACAATTGTTACAGTTTTAACTGATGAAATGCAGGTCTAATGTAAACTTAATAAAAATGCTGTAAATATATAACATCACAGACTATTATGGCATTGTCCAATGGCATTGCCTGTGATAACAGTCAACATAGCATCTTTAGGCTACGCATGAATGGTTATGAATTTGAAAAGTAAATTGAAGGACGTAAAATTTGATTTTTGAAAGTTTTGTGAATGGTCATTCATTTAACACAATAATTATGTTAGTTTTTATTATCTGCAGTAACACTGAGAATTTAAGTTGTAACTCACCTAAGGTTCAGTTAAGAAATGTGTTGCTCTCAAATTTACATCATTAGTCAAGTTTTGAACACTTCCATCAATGCTGATGTTTTGGTGTGAATATTCATGTAAACTCTCATGACGTACACAAACATGAAATAAAAAAAAGTATAGGCTATTAGGATAATTTATACTTAAATAAAAAAAATATATTTCATATCTACGTTTCTGTCAGTTCTAAACTAGTAAAATTTGACCTCATCACTCTTTAGATCGTACATTTTAAGGGTAGCTAATTCCTTAACTGGCCGCCAGATATACCCCAATGCCATCTGGTGGTAAACCCCTGAACTATTGCAGGCCCAATGTAAACAAAGCAATATTTTGCATTGCGAGAGCTCTGTTTTATACAGGTTATTCAATTTAATCAAAATTCTGCTATAGTTTGTATGAATTTTAAAAGCTACTTAACTTTTTATTATTATATTTATTAAACTCATAGGAAGTTTTTTTTACTAAAATACATAAAATGTAAATAATTGCATTTGCCTCTCGCAGGGATGTAAGTGAATTAATACATCCATATGAGAGTATGGATAACATTGCTAGTGTCCATTCATTTGTGTGCAGTGGTATCACACAAAACTATATTGTCTGACAAGCTGTGACTCGACTCGAGGAGCGGCTTAAAATTCATAATGATAATTTAGAGAAAATAACATAATATACCGTACTTGTATACTGTATCCTCTAGTCTCTAGTCCAATCCCACTCCTGCATTAAATCTGAGACAAATCCTAACATACCGGTATTA